TTAAAGAATTAAATACATTGAAAAGTGTCCTGTTTATCAAGCTCTTAGCAAAGAATTGCATAAAACACAGTAATTCTACCGTGGTAATTAACGTTCCTTGACAATAATTTACATTTAACCCATATATCTACAGCAACTGAGATTAGCGAGACTAACGATCTCCTGGGTGCTTTTAACGACGCTCAAAAAAATTTACTTGCCTGCGATATATATATTTTCGTTCTACTGGATCGATTTAATAATCACTATTTAATCAATCTTTCTTGTTCATAAAGTAAAAGAAATTCAAAAATATTATAATATAAAAACAAAAGGCTAAGACAATTCTACTCTCATCAGAAATATTGTTCAATGCTACGAATAAAGATATCGTTGATATCATTGAAAAGAGTGCTTATGGTAAAAGTGCACAGTAAAGAGAAAGAAACTATTTCTTGGATATCGATTTTTCTAAAGACAATCGTGGAGTCGAATGCATTTGCCGAATGACTCGTGAAAATACATAGCAACTCTTAACGAGCAACCCTTCAGAAATTTCAGATTCGACCATTAAATACGAGAAACTTTTGCTTCGAGACAAAAGACTGATGCTATAAAGAGTATATATGTATGTTCCATTAGCTGATTTAATAATATATATATAAGTTGTCCCGCAAAATATATGTACCGTATGTCACGCATTTTCTTCGAATTGTTGCCAGAATCGTAAAAACCAAACTATTATACAAATTTAATATTATAATTTAATACTAAGAAACTAAAAATTCATGCCAATCAGTATTCTTAATGTATTATTATTACTCTATAATTTTTCAATTAATTTTTAAATAAAATTTAATCAATCATAATTTACATTTGTGAAATAATTCTAAATTTAGAAAAAAAAATAACATTTAAACTTTTGCTAAATAAACCTGCGTTTATATATATATTGCGTATATGGTATATGCATTATTTTTTATCCATTATAAGATTTGTATCCAAGATTTAATCGGAAGAAACATTAATTTCTTTTTGTTTAATTGCGCCCATTAATTATAATCAAGCATATCCACATAGTAGAAAACTAATAACGTTGGTGACCCTAATGGGGAAGCGATTGCTCTTCAAGGACATCCGAAGCAAGCGCGCATCGAGACTTCGCGTGCGCCTCGTTATATACGATAATGTTGGTCAACGAACCCTTCTCGCGATAGTGGTGGATCAATTGAAATGCACCCCTCGCGCGCGCTATTCCAGACCAGCCATTACTACGATGCAAGGGGCACTCCATTTTCTTGCTCGAAACGTCCTTTACGAATGCAGGACTTCTACGAGTTAAAGCATTCGCGAGTTTATGCACTTTACACGACGCGCAACGCAATCCGAAATGACGTAAACGGGAAAATTTTATATCCCGACCATTATGAAGATAACCGAGGAACTTTCCATAATTCTCTTAAAAAAAGCTATAGTTTTTTAAAAGATAAAAAAGATTAAGCTGGGATTTATTAAGGATTAAGATCTTAATCATTTTTTTGTTGGAAAATTATTAATTTTAAGTATCGATTTCATCGATTTTCTAATAGATGATATTTTCAATAGATTCTGCGTAGAGGTAAATTGGAATCCTGACGAGCGATATAACGAAGAATTGTTTGTGACTTGACCAGCCGTAATACCAGACGGCAAACATTATGTTACCATGCTACAATCTATACGTTTATTTCATGGGGTGAATTTTATCGACAGTGCAGTGCGCGTATAGATAAAATATTTCATGCTGGGATCGCGTACCACTCGTGAGAAGATAAAAATACGATAGAGTGTATATCGTTCGCACTTTTATCGATGTCGCAACAAATAAAGTATTACGGTCGCTATATCGATTAATGCAACAAGCTTACGTACAACTTCGGTCGCTAATTGTAAAACATTGCGCTAACAGAGCGATCAACAAAAAGAAAGCAGATTTCTAGAATAATGCTCGCGATTTAAGTACTGAACATATTAAAATTTTTGAAGTATAATGAAAATATAATAAAAAAGAAGAGAGAGGAATTTATAATTATTTTCGAAAGATTGGAAGATTTTATTTAAAATTTTAGTTTTTAATTATAAAGTTTATATGTATACATATATTATTATACTTATATATCTCTCTCATACATCTATATTTATATATTTTCAATTATGATGTACACAAATATAAATATTAATGTTATAATAAAAAAATATATAAGAAATTTTTAACTTAATGATATAAAAAATATAATAATCTTATATCAAGACTGATTTTTATTAATAATTTGTCATAAACCAGCATCTTTTTACTGAGGAATAAAGTAATCTGCGTTTTGATTATATTTTATTTTGCTATATACATATATATATATATATATATATATATTAGTATATATGTATATATATGACACAATACGGTCAAATACACGTAGAAAATAGATGCATAGCAGAAATCATATTATACCTACATAAATGCACGAATTACGCGATCTGAAAATCCTAATTTCTATTTTGCTCTAACGAGGGTCTCGTATATAACACTGATTTTACAGAATTACCATCTATTTGATCATTAATATCATGTTTTCGTGTATATGAAGTTGGCATCTCATTTTATGAAAACTCATAAATAATTGAGAGACCTCATTTACAATAGTTTTAATAAAGTTCCTGATCTATAAGAGAAATGTTTTGAAAAAAGTAAAACTTAAAAATCAATTGGCATATCACCTTTAAACTCGAAAATATGCATTTCTTGAGAAAAATAATTATTTTTAAAAATTCTAAGTGTTTTAATTATCAGAACTATTTAAAAAGGCATCGTACATGCCAAAAACTATAGAACTATTTTGAAAAAAATTAACTCTTGAAAATCGACTGACACCTTTAATCTCGAAAAAATGTTTTTTGAGCAAAATATTTAAAAAATTCTAAATGTTTTAATTATCAGAATTCTTTGAAAAGGCATTGTACATGTTAAAAACTATATGAGAACTAAATTTTTCTATTTATTGGCTTAAAGTTTTATGTAATAATCAGTTTTAATAAAGAACAAATCGAATGATTTAATAAATTAATAAAGAATATAAAGATTTTTTAATATAATTAAAAAATCGTTAGGATAAATTGTCCATTAGCATTTTCATTAAAAAAAAATCAATTTCTCTTTCTTTCTTATTTTATTTGAAAACTAAATATTTCGATAAATTATATTAAATTTTTCATAAGTTTTTATACTTTCTTCGATTATATATATTCATCAATATTCATAGTAAAATATATATCGCATATATCATATTATTCAAAAGTCACTATTGATAACTTTGTTGCATAAACTGTAAATCATATGTTCAACATTAGTTTCTTATACGCTGCGATCGATTTAACTTTTTTCGCAAACTTCGCGAGACCAAAGTGCATACAATCTTTGCTAAAACCTGCATCTCGCAGAGAAAACTGCAGTGACGTAAGCGTAAGAAAACTAGAGATAAATATTCCAAGCCTTGTGAATGACATAAAGAAAAAGCTTATATAACCAATATTCAAAAATATTTAATAAATTTTAATATTAATTCTTGAAAAATTCGTCGCTTATCACGCAATATTTTATACAAAAATATTATTTATTATTTTTTTAAATGTTTCTAAAATAAATAAATTGTCAATAATTATGTTTAATATATATATGATAAAGATCCTAATAACAAAAAAAGCAATACATGATAGCTTATGTAACAGGAATTATAAATTACTCGAATACGAGCGGGTTCTCAAAAGTATAAGGACGATAGTGAAAAGAAAAAGCATTTAGTTAAGTGTAGACGAAAGAGACGTTAAATCATAAAGATTCTTTCCATCGCGAATGAAATGTCCGCGAAGCTGAAAAAACGCCGGCGTCTAAACGTCGTGCTCTAAATCAAACGTATGTCGCGCGGCTAAGCTTAGAAAAATAAGGGAAAAACATGGCAGTATTCCCCTAACTGCAGACTCGGCATTAAGGACGCACTATCTTCTACGATATCACAAGTCCTTGAGTTTCGGAAAAGAGCGAGTGAGAAACGAAGTGAACCGAACGTCGAATCAATGTTCTAATTAAATTAGGAGAAACAGCGAATAATGTAACCTATCACAAGCATAAAACGTAATCGATGCCGAACTAAATCTGCTTCGCCAGCTGTGCTTTAAAAAAAAATATTAAAAATAAAAATAATATAAAGAATTGGCTCTCAAATGCAGCAAATTCAATAAAGAATTGCGGTAATTTATAAATTGATAAAACAATTTATTTGAAAAATGACAAGACATTATTCTTTCACAGAACATTTAAATACTCCACATATTTTTTAACACCTAAATTAATGGTAAATTGTTTGTATTATAATATTTCAACTTAAAAATATAATTACAGAATTGACATGTAACCTTTAAAATAAATGTAAAATAGAATAATATCCATATTTTTCTATACAAGAAAAGATTAAATAATCAAATACAAAAATATCTATATCATAAGTATATTTTTATATTCTATATTACATTGCCTATGTGAAAGTGTTTTATCATTTTATAAAGTAACTTTTTTTGTAAATATTATCTATATAATACAATATAATTTATTATTATTTTTATTTTAATTATTACTTAATTTATTTAATGAATCTAATTTGACTTTATTGCAGCGATTATGCTTCTACTCTAAATCGAAACGATCCAAACTCGATCACTCACACTTCGTGAGATCGTAGAATGAAGTCATTATCGTATATCGAAATGATAATACTCGGAGTACGAGTAGTTCTGTGTCTATGAACGACGTGCAAAAGAGGAGTCGCGCCTATTCCCAGTGCGACCATAGGGGATTCCCTTGACGTTGTTGCCCCACGTCGCCCCACACTGCTTCAGCCCCCCTGTGTATCTTGGGGGCGTATGCGCACGCGTGGAAAATTGTGTCTGATAACGGCGGGCGTCTCGACGTCGTTTTAGTATCGGCCGTAACGCCGTAACGTCGCGACGTTTGGATACGGTTTCTTTTCTCTGCGATATTTACGCGTCTGTGAAGAAAACTGTTAAAACGCGAAATCGGAAGATGAGATACCGATTTCCCATAGTAAAGAGTCGTCCTAGGCGTCTAAAATCGGCGTCATTACTTCATGTTACTCCGATTGTCGTTCGGCCACGATCGAAAGTATAGCGGATTTCGCAAAGAAAAAGGTACGATCGTGTTGATTCGACAATTAATTGGGGTTGTTTTTATTATCGACACGTCCCATAATATTGCATTAAAAAATATTTCTTGTTCTTGCAACCGAAAATAAATGATATACTTGCAGAATATAAAAAAATTATATTCTAAAATAGGATTGCCTGAAGTAAAAAATATTTTTACGATATGTATGAATAAAAGAGAAAGAAACTCTAAAAGCTACTTTATAACTTTATAATTTATAATGTGAGAAGAGAAATAATTGTGTTTAATTTCAAAAGCATAATATAGATTAAATATTTATATAACAAAGCAATAACATTCTATTAATTCAACAGTAATAAATAAAAATAAAAATTGAATACAAATTTAAACGAATTCGTCCGATATGATCACAGTTATATTCTCAAAATATTATTCGATGGAACATCGTGTTTATTATTGCTTATATTTTATATTATTGTTTATATTTTATATTAAAATAAAGAAAATGTTTCTTTCAATTTTCGCAAAGGTCGTGATCAATCGCGATCGCTTTATTTTAGTGAGCTTCAAAAATCACGTTTTGCTATGTAAAAAAAAAAAATAATTATTAGACGCAAATTATATATTAATTATAATTGTGACATTATTTTACTTGACAGAAAAACGTATGTAAGGGACGCGACGGTGCGTTTTCGCGGGAGGAAATCTTTGCCGAATTGGTGCACTTTCAAGTCGCAGTGACTACAATGTTAAAGTGATTTTTGCTATTGATCGAGCAACGAACATACATTATCCATCATGCAGGTCCCTGGATTGCAATTCATGGCTTTGCTATTATGCTCATTGATGATAAGGATATCAGTAGTCTCAGGTGTGTATACAAAAATTTTAATAATATAATTAACATTTCTCACTTCTGTGCATTTTCTACAACGTAAATATAATTTTTAATTATCATATAAAGCCTACGTCCGCGAAAGTAACTTCACATCGTACACAAAAAATATTAACGTTATTTATAAAATATGTTTATAAAATACTAAAGCCGCATCGATAATTTTCCCTCATTCTTGCTATAAATATTTTCATTGATTATTAATTTTTGATTTTAGAAAATATATCTCTTGTTTCGTTCATAATTTATCAAACAATGGAAAATAAAATCATAATTTATATATTCAGTGTGCAATTTATGAGGACGTCAGAAACGCGCTTACAATTTATGGTTTAATATCGTAACCAATAAATTCGACTAAAACAGAAGTGTTTTAACTGTTGACCGCCGCGTAGCTATCTTTGAAATAATTTTTATAATATGACGCGCGGCGAATATAATTTTTTGAACAATATTAAATAATATAAAAAACAATAATAAATGACGAGTACTAAATGACGACCGATCTTTATGCTACAACGTAGTAACCAAAGTGTCTAAGACGCGCCACAGATCCATGATTAATTAATTAACTCCCGCCATTGTATGTTAAAGTGTCGTGTCAAAAGTCATTTGCAATCCTATATATGTTATGAAACACTGTCATGTAATATTTCTTAATTGTTGGACGACTAACCAAATATCGCATCGTAAATAATACGCAAACTTATAGCAGCGTATCCATTAAGCATTAATTACGGATACAACGAAACTTTCCGCGATGAACTTTTTATGGAAACTATATCCAATCGATATCTCATCGATATAATGCGAATACAATTTCGCCTGACAAAAATATTTTTCAGCATAAATACAGCTAACAATTTATTCAACCATATCATGATTTCTCAAAATAATATTGAGAAAAATCAGAATTTTGAAAAGTTAATGGCAATTATACATATTGCACGAATGGATGACTCTAGATGACAGCCAAGTTGACTTAAGATCACCCTACATTAAACCAATCCCTAATTGGTAGAGAACGGGAATTGAGAGAGGGTGGCTATAGAATTAACCTTTGCACTAGGAACGTAATTCTCCCTGTGGCAGATGCGACGCGTTTTCCTAATGCATCGATGATGCTCATCCAATTATTTCCGGCTCGCGCCGCTGGTAAATGTCGGTGGTGCAAGCAAAAGGATCCATTTTGCAATTAACTATGTGCGGTTATAATCTTATAGCCTTAAAGCATATCTAGTAACTTTATTAATTATTTTGTAACACGTTACGTTATATAATGTTCTTATGTTATCAAGTTATAATTATAACACTGTAATAATACGACGCGTATAATGTGATAATAATAATCTTATAATTACAACGTATAAGTTTCAAGATTATATAATATTGTACTGACGTTTTCAACGACGCGCGAAGATTCATATTTAGTTACACGCTTAACAAGTCGACGTTAAATTGTCTTTTAGCGCAACACCGAGAGAACACATTTCTCGGTCTAATTCAATTCTTATCCCGTATGCTTACGGAATATATGTAATTCCCGGAAAGCACATATGTCATACTAGACAATGCAAGTTTTGTTAACACGGTAGGCGGTAGGCGCTGTAAACGCCGCAAGTTACAGACAGGCACCGTTCGTCGGTCTTTGCTCGACTTATTCTCACACACGCCTACAGGACTATCGATTTCGTGCATGGTGAACATAATCGCGAAAAAGGGTCTCGGGCAAGGGTGCATTGATAGGGGATGGCGATAACGCGTTCGCGGAACGCAGCTCCAGGTACACTAGCAGGATTGTTTTGCCCTTCGGATACTACAAATCGCATCAAGGTACAATATTCAGAATCTATGAGACTGTTCAAGATCTTACAAAAATTATTAAGACTGATAAAAATAAATTTATATTTACAATAAAGTTAAAAATATAATACATCTTAATAATTAATCAATTAATTATTATCAAACAATTACAAAAAAAAAAATTATTAGTTTCTCTTACAATTCTATGTTATTAACATAATAATATATCTCCTTTAAATTTCAATATTATAAATAAAATATTCAATTATTCAACAATAATTTCGAAAGCAAAATAAGAGCATCTTAAAATATTTTCTCTATGATATAATGTAGTTTGATTTTTGGATATGAAACATGTGATGCTTTAGAAAAATTAGTGATTATCGAAATTTTAAATCCAGCTTATGAATATCAAGGCAAATGATTTGCATATCGTTTGCGAGAGATTTCATAATAACGCCACGCGTAGGTTGACATTTGCGCTTGACCATGTAACGACCGAGGTAACGACGATCGCAATGTCGCGTGCCGACCGGCCCATGCACCCTTTCACGTGCACGACGACTTCGATGAACTGTGAGAATCGATAGCGGCCTTCCGCATACGACCGTATTTTTCTACCATCATTCGAACCGATACATCACGTGTGACAAGATTAAGCCGTATGACAGTTCTCAGTATAGCCTATTCCGATTATAACCCCTGAAGGACGAGCATTTTTCAAGAATAGACTTGAAATAATTCCGAAAATAAATGATAGCATTATACGAAAAAAGTGAAAGCAAGATTAAATATGATCGAATATTTTAATTCTATAAAGTTTATTTTGAAACTTTGAAAAATTGTCAGGAAGCAATTAGAAACAAGTATTTTCTACATATAGAATTAAAAAAAAATTAAATAATTTTAAAATTAATTTTTTAAATTATATGTATTAAAATATTTACAAATTATTGACTAGTGACTGAGTGAGAAATTGTCGTTACAGTTTAACAATCAAAGCAATTAAATACCTCACAATATATTATCCATTAAATTCATTGTAAAAAACAATCTCGACTGCGGGAGACGCGAGATGAAACGAGCATTTTTCTTTTGATCAAGTTCAATTTCAAAGCGATAAGCTTGCTGTTCGATGCTATTACAGTATCAATAGTATCTTTCGGTTTTGGTATCGACGGTTTCCACTAACGATTTTTTTTACTTCTTTTCTTGCCGCGATCCCGACGCATTAACGCAAAGAAAGGATAACGGAGGGTGAACTAGGCGGGTTGGTCCCACCCTCCCACGCAGTTCGCGACGCTGTGCAGAACTCCAGCATGGCAAGACTGCGCCGGTTTTATTGCTCGCGTCACGCTACCGCGTTTGCCAGCCGGCTGGTCAACGAAATTCGGCATCGATTTCGCCGTAGATAGCCGCGTCCGCGTTCTTCATTGACATTGAATGCACCATTCAATAGCAAAACGCGACCTTGGCTGCATTTCTGCGGCCACATCGAAGTCGCACAATTACAATCCAACCCTTTCTAAGCCGCCGACGACGACGTTTGTCATCGTTATTCTCAACAATGTTTAAAAATAATTAAAATTTCATATACGTCAAAATTCTCGACGGATTAACCGTCGACAGGCATCGCCGTCATTTTAAGAAATTAATTACGAGATTGCCGAGGCCCATGCAAACATGTAATTTAGCAGCGCGAGCACACGCGATCGAAGTGTGCCGGACGACAGGAAGTTAAATGTGCGAAAGCTAATAAAGTTTCGCGAGATAGGGAAACAAAGGTGTATTTTTTAACGCCGGATGCACGAGATAGTGTATCGAGAACTATTGTGCATTTTGTAACGATGATGAACTTACAATGTACTAACAATGAGAAGGTAAAATTTATAAATGCTCGAAATGGCAAGAAATATGAAACTTTAGCATGATACGATACAGAATCACGAAATACAGAAGATGCAGATATAACTGAACAAGTATAAAAGTTTGCGACGTAAAAAAAGATGGGCGTAGATTTGTTTAATCGCGATAAGTTATCGCCCCCGAGGGAATAACGCGTGACGAGGGAAATATTAGCATTTCGCATCGTCTTCCAAAATAAATAAAGAAAAAGAAATAAGAGCAAAAATAGAGGAGGGTATAATTTCGCGTGACATATTCTTCGGTGATCTTGAATTCCGCGAATTCTTAGGTAAAACGACACGCGATACTCGAACCGAAACTAGGACGTTAGATCGCAACCACGGTCCATCGCACAATAGCGTCCACTGTCGACAGAAACCCCTGAAAGAGACCCTTCATGATATTATCGATAAAACCCCGAGCGAAAGGACGATAAGTACAAGTCGTCGGGCGAAACCTTTTGAAACGCGCGCGCGTCACTACTCGTGACATTTATTACTTCGTCGCAATACTTTTTTTTATTTGCAAATCGAACTACAGCTTGTCGTATACTGCTACCGATAATCGAAACTCTGCTGTGTCGATGATAAAGCGTCGCGAATGAATATTAATCCGATACCCACCCGCGCACACTCGGTATTTATGCGAGTATTTAATGAATGTTATCGTACGCGGCGATGGGCGATTTTGTGGAATAAAAAGGGTATCATGTGCGTCGAAAATAATAACAGCGTGAATTGCAAAATATGGGGGAATATTCGTAAGTTTTTTTTCAAAAGAGAGCAATATCGGCGAAAATGTCAACTACATAAAATGAGATTTGAGTATTATAAATCATAATATTCCACGAGAATATAATCTGTTTTTATTAATTAATTTATTATTCATTTATTATTGACACTTGTGATATAATTTAGAATGATATATCTGAGTTATAAAATGATTGTTAATTTTTTGCATATTTTCAATTGGTGTAGATAATATTAATGTGGCGACAGGTTTTCCTGTTTTCAAAATATAAATAATTAAATATTAATTATGCAAATTTTAAGAACAGCTATATCACGTTTGCCATCTCCATAAGGTACTTACAACGTTTCGCATTCGTGCGTCAAGTCATCGTATACCATGAATAATAATGAGAATGACAAGACTCCTTATTAATGACGCGGCAGAGCACACAAAACGTCTGGCGCGAGTCTTCTACAAAGTTACGGACTACCTTGTCGGCAGTACATTTTACGATGGCATTATAGTTGCCAGATGCG